AAAGGTTCTTGCGACCCCCGAATAATGGGTATGTATAGATAAACAACCAGGATTGATCTGTCATTAATTTTTTGCGACCCACACTTTGAGAATCAAAGTCAAGTCTCTCTTTTTGCTGTTTTTTACACGCTTTTAAAGTCTTCGATTAGTGCGGGATATTGATTGATTCAATTATCCGCGAGCAATTCCTGTAATTATTTTTGTCGTTTATTGATAGATTTTTTTTTTAAATTCAAATAAATTTCTTTATTTTTTTTTTTAATAATTAGTTTACAATTACATTTTTTCTTGTGAATGATATTAATTCTAGCAATGTTAATTTTATTTATGTAATTGAAATATATATATAATGCTTTTCGTTACTTCTTCGGTTTTCGTTTTATAATTGGATGCGTCAAAAAGGAATGGTATACATCCATTGAAAAGGAGGTAACCGGATTGCGTGCAATTCATCCCCAATAAATGTACACAGCTTAATTTAATTTTCCCATCCGAAAAAGCTCTCAACTCATCGTTCGTCATCATAACTTCATCTCCGTGTCGACCTGGAATTTTCTCTCCTCTCTCCTTTTTTTTTTGGCCCATTGTTGTTGCCTTCAGTGCGTATACTCTTTCAGGGTTGCCATTTTTCAACCATCCCCTGCATCCATCAACTTTAATAGCCGATTGGATTACATTTAATCATCCAACAACGTGCACGTAACCAATTTTATTTGTAGACAAACTTTTATTATAAAATCCTTGCTAAATATTTAATCAGTAATCCTGTCCATAACGAAACTCCTATAAAGAAAGAGAGAGAGGCCTAGTCTTCAGCTGCAAACAAGCCTGCATCTTTAATGCGACCACTATAGAACTCCATTCAAACTGTTTGCCAGCTCAGCAAACACGACCCCCATTCCAACTGGTACACTTCTCTTCTATATTTTCACTCCTTCAATTTCAAAATCTGAGAGAAAAAAACCAGTCAATGAATATAAAAGCTAATGTGGGTTACGTCATTCTAGCATTGACACGTTTCAATTCCGGTTAAACGAATTTCCATTTTGCGTTTCCGCATGTGCTACTTTTCATCGAGCATATGGACTTATTCGATTTGACGGAAGTTGCCAATGGTGTGTGCAATACCTGGAAATCCGTTGAACCGTAAACGTGTAGCGTCAATTGGTTGGATAAAACTCGATCGCGATGCATAATTACGTTTAGTTTCGATGCGTTATAGTAATGAAGCAATTTGCTTTCGATCTCGAACGTATCCAGATCAATCTAGACCTGACCCTGTACAGAGAAATGAATAAAAATGGGAAAGGGATGATCCGTAGTAAATAAAAAGATGATCCTGCAGACGGTAGAAGCGCGGGCTTCGAACGTCGGTATATATTATATCGAAAGAAGACTTTCTTACGCGTATTTTTTTTTTCATATTCCACAAGGAAATTTCGACCCGGCAAATCCACGAACACATAATAATTTATAGCGTTTTCAAAGCGAAGTTGCTATACTTTGCTACAATCATTCCAAGAAGCTTTCACCTCCTTGCTTCATATTTTCAAACTTGTCTACCCTAATATTTATACTGCTCTGACTTCAATTTTTATAAATGTTTACAATTTAAACTAATTACACATAAGTGTAAACAATAAAATATTACATTTCCATAAAAGAGATTATTTGGTATTCTTACATCTAAAAAAACAGTATTTTCTTATAGTTTTGTAATAGTTTATCTAGTTATAAACTATATATTTTCTACATAAAGATATTGCAGCGTTGCATAAAATTTTACATGGTTTGCGAAATGACAGCTTTCACCTTTCAAAGCGAGGAACTGGTTAAACATCCTTATATTGGGTTGCACAACAAATAGGTTGATCTCTGCAAGGAGTGGCGGATTAAAGCAATGAGGCAGGTGTCTAAGTGTCTTAGAGATCCCCAAACCACACATTTTCCTATGGTATTTAAAATATATGATTGTTTTTAGTGGACTCTCTGAAATATTTTGCCTAGGAGCCCCAATTATCCTTAATCCGTCACTGTCTGCTGGGGTCTGCAATGCGGAAGGACCCACAACTGTGCGGGTTCATAAATCGCTATTTATTCACGATAAAATATTTGAATCAAAAAATTAAGAATGCATATTTTGTTGTCAAGTTTCTAAGATGTCGACACTCGCCCCCACCTCCTTATGTGCTGTCCAAAGTTTGAACAAGAAAACCGATAACAACAAAGGAGAAAGTATGGTCGAAATTGAGTATTTCATACTTTTCAAGTGCCTATTTTCTTACTCATTTTGAACGCTTATAACAAAAAAGGGAAAAACACAAATCTAGATATTAACAACATAGTTTTTTTTATTTAATCTTTGTATATAATGATTTTTTTAAGCTTCTATTTTATAGCTTAAATTTGACAGTTTATGAAATACGAACAACGAAAAACCCAAATCTTCATTAACTTCTTTATATTTGTTGTTATTATTTACAAAATAATTTTTATTTAAATAATTGCTTAGTATGTTTGCAGTTTTACATAATATATAATGAGTTATTTACTGACTGTTTGATAACTAAATAATTCGTATTACTTGGCAAGTTAAAAGTCAACATAAAGAAGACTTTCAAAATGTACAACTTCTGTTAAAGTTTACTTTTAGATGTAGTATTTTCTAAATAATTAAACAGTAATTAGTATTGCTAATAATTCACATATACTAGTATTAATTTGTATGAGTTTTAAATGAAACCTCAGAATCTATATCACTTTTTAACTTTCCAATTTAAGTTGGAACGCTTTCTCGTTTCGGCACAAACTTTTTCTGTTTAATTTAACTTATATATTAGACATAGCTCGTTAATTATAAATAATAGCAAAGTAATAAATGTATTTTTTGTTTACTTTACATTTAGTCTTTATTTCCATCAACTAGCGTAAATTAAAGTTTACAAATCTGAGGTTTACTAAAACCACTGTAACCAGTAAAGTAATTGTCAGAATGTCATGAAATGTTGACACAATATTTATGACAATAGTGTTGCCATATATTTGTTAATTCGGAGACTTATTGAATGATGTGTTATTTATTATCAAGGAAATACATGTTTTTGTTCACTTTAATGTAATATTTATTTCCATCAACTGATGTCAATTACTACTATTTTAAGTATTAATGTTACGTAGATTCTTAATATCGATGCATCATTAAAGATTTGTGAAAAAAGTATATTTTTGGAAAGAAATGCATGTATTTTTGTTAACATTACATTGTGTATTTATTTCCATCGACTAGAGTAAATTAAATTAAAGTTTACAAATCTGAGGATTACAAAAACCACTGTAACCAGTAAACTAATTGTCAGATTCTCATGAAATTTTGACAAAATATTCATGACAATAGTGTTGCCATATATTTGTTAATTCGAAGACTTATTGATCGATGTGTTATTTATTATCAAGGAAATACATGTTTTTGTTCACTTAAATGTAATATTTATTTCCATCAACTGATGTAAATTACTATTATTTTAAGTATTAATGTTACGTAGATTCTCAATATCGATGCATCATTAAAGATTTGTGAAAAAAAAGTATATTTTAGGAAAGAAATGCTTTTTTTTTTGTTAACATTACATTGTGTATTTATTTCCATCGACTAGGGTAAATTAAATTAAAGTTTACAAATCTGAGGTTTACTAAAACCACTGTAACCAGTAAACTAATTGTCAGATTCTCATGAAATTTTGACAAAATATTCATGACAATAGTGTTGCCATATATTTGTTAATTCGAAGACTTATTGATCGATGTGTTATTTATTATCAAGGAAATACATGTTTTTCTTCAATTAAATGTAATATTTATTTCCATCAACTCATGTAAATTACTATTATTTTAAGTATTAATGTTACGAAGATTCTTAATATCGATGCAACATTAAAGGTTTGTGAAAAAAATATATTTTTCGAAAGAAATGCATATATTTTTGTTAACATTACATTTTGTCTTTCCATCAACTAGCATTAATTACTGTTGATTTAACTAACTATGTACAATTTAAAAAAGTAAAATTATTATTAAATAAATGCAATTAATTTTGTTTGGCCCGAAATACTATTTACTTACGAAGATAAATATAAATTTTCTGTGCATAAAGTTACTCTGCATTATTTGAATACAAATGTAAATAATCATTTGAAGCTTTTCATGTACAACTTTATATGCATTATGAATAAGGATTGTGTATATAAAGGATTGTACTTTAACGAATTCTATTATATTAATATGAATGTAAATTTTCTATGGAGAATGATTGAAGTTTTGATATCAGCGTATTGTGTTAAAGGTTACAATGCTCGAACGTCGACATTCGGAATAAATAAAACAACGTGAGTTGTGTTTGAACCCAAATTTGTCACTTGATACTTTTTCACGGACTAGGGTTTTGCCGCTTTGTTACGTCGAGTCACACGAATATATACATTTTTCCATTAAAAAAAAAACAACAACAACAAAAATCATCACCAGCGAAATGTAGCGAAAACAAAAGTTATGCTTACAGTGGGATAAAGCTATATACAAATTCGTTACAAAGCAGCACGTGTCTCGCCTATCAATTTGTGAATAGAATAGATATGTACAGCGCTCAGAAACTATGTACAAATGCGCATATAGATTACAGATGTCGAGAATGGTTGAAGGTAGCACATCATATGCAGATGAACTGAGAATGATATAAATATTTCATTTGACAAGCAGGAATTACAAAATGTGAGTTATGTATTTGCTTTGGAGAAGGCCATTACATTTCAATGAGAACGCGCATATTTTAATATGAGATGTATATAATCCATGTGATTACACCTAATGTGTATTTGATTTATTAGTTACGTAAATGCAATATTCCGCTAATGCATTTACGACGATCCAGATTATCTCGTTTTTTTTTTATTGAAACGAAATGATAATGCACACGTTTGTGTATTAAGTGTTTGTATTTGACTTACTTGTGATTGGTGGTTGGCAGGTTGGTGGATTGGGGACGAATGGCTACTAGAGGGATTTGATCTCTGTCGCAGTCGGGCAAGGGCTGTGCGAAGGCCCTCCGTTATTGAATTCTTGCCGACCCCGCTGAAAATATTAAAAAAAAAATGATTAACAACACATTTAGAACACTTTTAGAATGCAAAAGAATCATAAATTCTCTAATGATACCCTAATTTCTTGACTTATGTCGGTTTTTCGTTCCGCAGCTTTGGACGTAGATTTATTTGTAAATTTGTCTTTATTTTCATAGGTCAATGAAATATGTTTTGTACAAATTTCCATTTAAAGACAATTCGATCTAAAATCATTTCATTTCGATTTGTTAAATATAAATTAAAAAAAAGATTATTTATAAGAATTTGACGAGAAGATCAATAAATTGGGAGATTAAAACAAAAACAAATGTTTTGATCAAAGATCAATAAAATATGTTTTGGACAAACTTACATTCAAAAATGATTTCATTATACAATTTTATTATCACAGTCAATTATGACGATTTTCCGTTACACAATATTGTACGTAATTTGAAATGCTCGTAAGTCGAACTATTATATTTGTCTGAACCGGGGATTTCCGGGACAAATTTCCCGGGAAATTTGAAAAAATATAAAGTTTCGATATCCGGTAATTATCTTTTGAGATTTATCTTAAACACTAGTCTCGTGTCTCAGGAATAAAAAATGTCGAGATTGAGCAACTCAACTCTAGTCTCTATAGATAACTCAGAGTTTGTTTGTTTGCTTTTTCTTGACCTTTAAGTGATTCTTCCAGGTCAAATGACAATTTAGGTGAATCCCTAAGTAATTAGCTTCTTCAGATTGAGACAAGGAAATGTTGTTTCATTTGCTTATATTCTCTACATTTTTATCCCATTCATTTTAGAAAATTAACTTTATTTATGTTGAAACCACAAAAATAGATCTATGATTACTTTTTAAATCAATATTCAATTTTATTATCACAGTTACTTATGACGAATTTCCATTACACAACATTGGACGTAATTTGAAATGCTCGTAAGTCGAACTATTTTATTTTTCTCTATTAGGGATGCTGAACCGGGAATTTGCGGGACAAATTTCCCGGGAAATTTGGAAAAAATATATATCCTCGGTACATGATAATTATATTTCGAGACTTATCTTAAACAGTTGTCTCGTGTCCTTGGAATTAGAGATTGAGCAACTCAACTCTAGTCTCTATGGATGTCTCAGAGTTTCTTTGTAGCAGCCTGTACATTTTAAAAATGACATTTCCAATTGCTTCTTCTTGACCTTTAAGTGATTCTTCCAGGTCAAGCGACGATTTAGGTGAATCCCTAAGTAATTGGCTTCTTCAGATTGAGACAAGGAAATGTTGTTTCATTTGCTTATATTCTCTACATTTTATTCCCATTCATTTTAGAAAATTAACTTTATTTATGTTGAAACCACAAAAATAGATCTATGATTACTTTCGTTTAAAAATATCAATATTCAATTTTATTATCACAGTTACTTATGACGAATTTCCATTACACAACATTGGACGTAATTTGAAATGCTCGTAAGTCGAACTATTTTATTTTTCTCTATTAGGGATGCTGAACCGGGAATTTGCGGGACAAATTTCCCGGGAAATTTGGAAAAAATATATATCCTCAATACATGATAATTATCTTTCGAGTCCATGGAATTAGAGATTGAGCAACTCAACTCTAGTCTCTATGGATGTCTCAGAGTTTCTTTGTAGTAGCCTGTACATTTTTAAAATTACATTGGCAATTGCTTCTTCTTGACCTTTAAGTGATTTTTCCAGGTCAAATGACAATTTAGGTGAATCCCTAACTAATTGGCTTCTTCAGATTGAGACAAGGAAATGTTGTTTCATTCGCCTTTATTCTCCACATTTTCATCCCATTAATTTTAGAAAATTAACAACGTTATTCATATTGAATTCAAACTTATTAAATAATAATTCAGCAACTCAACTCTAGTTTCTATGGATGTCTCAGAGTTTCTTTGCAGTAGCATTTACTTTTTCAAAATTATTGGCAATTGCTTTTTCTTGACCTTTAAGTGATTCTTCCAGGTCAAGCGACGATTTAGTTGAATCCCTACGTAATACGCTTCTTCAGATTGTGACAAGGAAATGTTGTTTCATTTGCCTTTATTCTCCCATTAATTTTAGAAAACTAACAACGTTATTCATATTTAATTCAAACTTATTAAACAATAACGCAAACAACTATAGGCATTTGAAAAAAATAGATCTCCCGTTTAATTTTAGTTACTTTCTTTTAAAAATATCAAAAAAATACATCTACTAAATACTATTAATTTTCATTTCATCTGAAAGATAAAAAAAAAATGAAAATTTGTTAATTTTCTAATAACTAGTTAAGTTTACTAAAACTTACTTATAAAGTGAGCAGTAATACTTGTATTTCAATATTTAATAAAAAATGAATAAAAATATACTTTTTTCAACATATTAATTTGATTAGATAATGTTGATGTTAAATATAATAAAATCATTTATAATTAAGCTTGTTTTGACTTGATTATCATTATAATTTCAGGTATTATCAATAATTTTCAGCGAACACGTAAATGTGTGCTTGGTAAAGTCAACAGCAATACGTAACGCACGTTAACAAAACAGGGTTACATGTTCGTTCACGTGAAGATTAAGCACGTTTTTTGGAGCAGTTACTTTTATGTGGCAACAATAAAACGACGTGTACTACCCGAAATTGCCGCTTACGGCAAACGCAAATTCGATCCGTCCCATTCAATAAGCCGCACTCTATATAACCGAAAAAGCAATAACCGAAATATTATAAACCCAACAAAAAAAAATTCGTCTTCTCATCCAGATTCTCCATATACTTGCATACTCCCCTCTTATCCCAATTACGTATACTGTGCAGATAAAAAAATCTTAAAATTATCCGAGTTTCATATATGTGAGTTTAAAGCCAAAATCGATCAACCGTATTTTGAAATTGCTTTTATCTGGGAGACATGAAAGTGCATGGCAAACATTCATAAAGCAGACATAGATAATATTATTATTGTGGCGGCTTTCACATGAGAGATAGAGATATCTGGTGAAAGAGGAGAAGTGATGTAAAAAAAAAAGTTGTTGCTCGTCTCTTATCACAATAGTTTCCAGCCTGGTCAAGTGAACATATTATAAATAGATTAACCTCTATTATTCTATATATGATTAACTACAATCTAGAACTTCTTGAGTTTAAATTTTAAAGTAAAAAAATACATTTTATTGCTTAAAAAATATAATTTTTATCTTTCAGAAAGCTCGCTGTGAGATTAAGGATCAAAGGTCCTTCGCTTTGAGATTTAATAAATTGTTAACGAAATCAAACCGGTTACGGTCTAGTGGATGCGCCGGGTAGATATATTATATATTTCTTGTAAAAAATTTAAGGATCCAAGTTTACTAAATCCAATTTTTATTAACTTACATTCATTTTTTTTAAAGCAACTTTTTAAAATAATCGATAAAATTTGAAATAAAGTTGTTAACGTTACCTCTGATAACGAAGTTTTGATATAGCGAAGTCAATAGCTTAATCAATAAGTTCTATTTTATAGAAAAAATAACGATGAAGATGATGTTAGAAATTAATTCAATGCAGAAAATGATGGTTTTTGAATGGAAGACTTTGAAAATCTTATTAGCAATAAAAATGAATACTAAATTAAACAAAGGCTTTAAAACTGAACCTGAGTTTGAAAAAACAGTATTTTTACCTTTTACAACGAATTTTCACTTAACGAAGCAATTTTTGAATATATCTTATTCCTTAATCGAGGTATGAACGTATATCAGTATATAGATTTTTTGTAATAATTTTATAAACTATAAAATAAACGATATAATTCGTATACTTTCTCAATAGAATTCTATAAGAATGTGTCAGACGCTTCAGTAAATTTGGATTTATATATACTGTGGCTTTCAAGTGCAATCTGCGTTTCAAACGGAGGGAAAATATAAAACTCGGAAAGAGCTGACGTGCAACATTGTCGAGCGAAACCCATCTAAAAAAAATGTGCTGAAGAGACTCCGTTATTTCTTGAGCAATCAGAATCGATCCCAGTAATGAGCAAGTGAAATGGAATCAATATTACCAAGTTTATATACAATTTGCTCTTGAAAAAGTGGAAACATCAAAATTTTATCATTGTCATTTTTCATTGTTGTTTGAAGCCAACGATTATTTGGTACCGCGTTATAAGGAACCTGGAATTAGTACAAATCATTTTAATTGAACATAAAAGTTTAAATAAAAAAAATATACAAAATTTAAATTTAAACTAAACAACTAATTATTTATTTATTTTATTCTCAATTTCTATATTTTTATCTCGTTTTATTTTTAAACTTTTCACTGCACATTATTGAAGTATCATTTTGAATGAAATATAGATCTAATATTTAAACCAAATCTAATATGTTTTTTTCATCATTTTTGTCTATCTAAAAGCATTGGTATATCATAAATTCTCTTCCTGAAATAGCATTTCTACAGCATAATAGTTAATATCTTCAAATCCTTCACTGCTACATCAAAAACAAGCAAAGTTTACTACAATATCTGCGAGCGAGTTATTATTTTACTCTGTGTATCAACATGCATTAAGTGTTTATGTTCATGCGTAATTTGATAACATAATTGTAATACAAGAGTCGACTATCTGGAGTAAATTACCCCAAATGGGTTAGAATTAAATTCTTGGACTTTGTGAAATTAAAATTCTAAGAATCCAAGAAAAATATTTGTATTAACTCTCCCTAAATAGGTGTAAATTAATATTTTTGGGGTAATTGGTAAAAACATCACTAGTTCTTATGAATCTAATACAACCTAGAATATTTTTCTGATCTATCGAAAAACATACCACATTTCATAAAAAAAAACATAAATGCTGAATTTTTTAATGTATTTATACGGAAATTCACTGATAAATAAAACTGAACCTGTACCTCACAGGTGCATGAAAAATTGAAGAATTTCCCATTAATTTCAAACGTAAAAGCGTTATAGAAAAATGTATACTATAGGGAGACCACTTAAGCTAACTTAATTAGCTATTATTTGTAAACCGGGTTGTAGGATGGAGGGTTGTCGCAATTTTTGTTCCACATGATGTTTGAAACAGTGTTACAGTAGTATAAGCGTAATAAAAGTATTTACTGTATTGTTTATAATAAAACCTAAATAAAAATTAATGATTTATATAAATTATTGATAAAATCTCTAAAAAATTAATCACTTGTTGAATTTACAGAAGTTTCGAATATAAAAAAATGCATTCTAATATTCTAAACATCAGTAAATACTTAATACAGGCATACCTCGATTAACGAGAAAGAATGAAGAAAAAAAGTTACATTTTCATTAAAAAAAAACTTTTTTAATGTAATTTAATCTTTTTAAATCTTTGATTTGAACCATTTTTTTTTGACAGGAAGTTTTTTAATTTCATTTCTTCGTTGTTAACAAAGTTTTATAAATGTTCCATCAACTTCTAAAATTCTTTTCATCGACATTTTTTTAAAACAATAGATTGAGTTCATAATAAAAAATAAAAGTTTCATTTTCACTAAAAAAAAAATCTTTTTAAACCTTTGATTCATTTGAACCATATTTTTTTGTCAACAGGAACTTTTTTAATTTCATCTTCGTTGTTAACAAAGTTCCCTAAATCTTCCATCAACTTCTACATCGTCTTCTAACATTTTTTTCATCGACATTTTTGATTGAACCACTTCCTTCAAAATACATAAACTATACGTTCATAATGAAAAATAAAAGTTTCATTTACACTAAATAAAATCTTTTTTTCATCTAATTTAAGCTTTTTTAAACCTTTGATTCATTTGCAGCATATTTTTTGTCGACAGCAACTCTTTTAATTTCATCTTCATTTCTATGTCTTTTAACATCGTTTTCATCGACGTTTTTGAAACATATTGATTGAGCCACTTCCATTATCATTTCATTATTTTCTTTCTAAATGAAGCTTGAAATTGTGCTTCATTATCAGAGGTAACGTTAATTAATGGTTTGAAAATTGAATTCAATTCTGTGGAAGTATCGTTCATTTAATCATATACATGCATTTAGATCAATCATTGACTCTGTTACATAAACGATAAATATTATCTTGTCAATTTTGAAATACGTGCGGCAAAGTTGCGTGGCGAACCGTCCTTATCTGCACCGCTAAGCTCCGCTGCGAAACTCCCACACAGCTAAAAGCCATTACAGAAACCGTCAATTTCGAGTTTCATTCCAGGAAAAACCATCCCATCCCATCTCTGCAAAGTGCAAAGAAAAAAAAAAAGCGAAATGTCCGCATGATATATGCAACTTAAAAGATAAACATCCACGTAAAAAAATACACTTTAAAATAATGGTTTCCTCCATTAAAAAACTTCTTAATTACTAAATAATATTTAGACATTGATATATTTTCCATTTGCATGTAATAACAGCTGGTAACTGGAATTACGATCTCATTAAAGAAAGTGCGTTTTATTACTTAATATTTCAGACATTTTTGTTTACATTTCGTTGTAAGTAGATAAAGAAATAAAATATTGTGATGAAATTAATTTCAAAACTTGCGCGCATACACAGAGAAAACTAACTTTTATTTAATTATATAACTGCAAATTTCGTAAGCCAGAACTAGACTAATTAATTATCTCAATGAATTCGTGAACTCGCTCAGTCATTTGCTTTTCGCGTAGAACTTTAATCAAAGTTGTTTTCGACTCTCAATTGGAATGAATTTAATGTTGTTTGAACGTATTGCAATTAAAGCGACATTTCGTACTGTCGAATCATTATTTTGTTCAGCAAAGTTATACTTTACTCTTTTTTTATCATCATTACAAACAACTCATTGAACTCTTCCATTTTCATTTATATTTAATGATGTTCCATTTATAAATAAAAATAAATACTATGGAAACTACAGCGATTATGAATTCCAATAAAAAATGTTGTGTTAATAATTACTATAATTATAATTTATTTATATATGAAAGAAACATAAATACCAGCAAGGAGAGAAAACACAGGTAAAAAGGTATAAATGGAAGAAATTTTTATACATATTTAATGAAAATAAGAAATATTTGAAAATTATTATTGATATTTAAAATAATGATTTAATAAATTTTCAATTTGTTTCTTTATTTAATCATTTAATGTTAGACTATAAAACGTTGATCAATAATGTTTATAAATAATACAATACCTCTTACAGTGCGGGTAATCTGTTCCACGGCTGTTTGAAACCGGACTAATCGAAGAACGAAATAAAACAAAGTAAAAGTAAATCCGGACTATGCGAGGTTTTACTGTACTGAAATTGATTACATAAATATGAAAATTATACTAAAAATTTGGACTAATTGAAACATCAGAAATCATTGAAATAATCGATGAATGGATTTTAAGCTAACTTAATTAGCTATTATTGTAAACCGTGCAATATCTTATAAAGTGCGGGTAATCTATTCCAGAGCTGTTTGAAACCGGACTAATCGAAGAACGAAATAAAACACAAATAAACCGCACAAAATAGGGAGAGAAAAAAACTATAATGTTCTGTAAATTAAAATTTATTTTCAAATTTTCAAACAGGATTGTAGTAAATCCGGACTATGCGAGGTTTTACTGTACTGAAATTGATTAAATATACTAAATATTTGAACTGATTGAAACATCAGAAATCAATATCAGTCAAATTTGAAATATATAAAAATAATTGATGAATGAATTTTTATGAAACATTAACTAATGGAGTTTTTTTTTTAATTTGAACAGATCGTGTTATTTATATACTTTTTAGGAGTATAAATAATTACAGACAAAAAGTATGAAATATAAAACCACATAAATCATTGCTTGAGACTTTTCGCTAAAAAAAAAAGTATAATTTAAAAACAACGCAAGTTTTAAAGCAATTTATTTCAATTAAATTAAATACTGAAAATAATTGAAATATTGAAAAAAAATAATTATTTACAAGTTAATCAATATGTTTAAAAAATGGAAATTGCATCAATAGCTTAAAATATTCAAATATGTGAACGTTTTTTAATGTCAATATCAATTAAAATGAAATTATTTTTTTTAAGTTTATGTTATTTACAAAGTTTATAATAATGTATTTGCATGGATGCAGACGTATGCATTTTTGGAAATATTTTCATTGTGTTATTTACGTGAATTGGGGGAATCCCTGGCTTCCGTTTGTTGAGAGGAAGATTTAAATACATTTACATATACGAATCAAGCGGAATATTTTGGAGGTAGAGACCAGAGATAAATCCAGTTTGGGAGAAATTTGCAAGTCAGAAACGCCAGGGCTCTTCGTAAATAGTGAGAGTGAGTGTAATGGAATTGCGGCGCTTTCGCTTTCGCACCGAAATTGGATCTTTAAATCTTACCCAGTTTGAAGAACGATAAACTTCTTGCTGGCATCTCGGGTGCACTTTTTGACCTCGAACACTGTGTAGAAATTCGTGTTTTCCAACTTTCTGTATCACCGCGGACGTGAAAAATGATGTTCACGTAGCAATTTCGAATATGGGATTGATTGGTTCTCGGAAAAGACGGAGCGAAAGCAAAAGGAAATATAAAAGAAAAGGAAATGAATGGGGGAAGGGTGGAAAATAAAAGAAGAGGTTTGGTTTAAAGTTCAAGTGATCTTAGGATTACGGCGTCCGCGCACCGTAGACGTACGCTGGTAGCGGTAACGACATTCTTCATCCACACGTCCTCTGGTCTTTCGTAGAACTGTCGGGAAAGCGCGTCCCGATGGAAAATATTCTCTTCGTCGACGCAAGCGCGATGCTCGGAAAACTCCGCGCCAGCCGGTGACATTGTCGATGAGGGGTTTGCAGGGATGGTGGAAATGGGTGAAAATGCTTGCGCACAAGAACAAATATTCCTGAGACACTTACGAATGTCCCGCGCGACTTCAGATCACTGCACCCACTCCATTACATTACACTACATTTTCAGAGATTACCGACAATCGATTCTTTGTAATTGAAATGGTCCCGCTTTAAGATTATATGATTTTCTTCGGAAAAACACACAAATGAAGAAAAAACAAATACTTCGAGGTCGCACACGTCTTCTCCTATTTCGTACTGTAATTATTTGCTTTATATGCAGGCTGCTGTCGCAGATAAATTTTCTCGGGGCCAACTTTTCTGAATATAAATCTGGATATTATAATGTGACCATAATTATTGTAGAACAGATGCGCTTCAAATTTACTTTATAGTAATGAAAATTATCAATATTTTCATCACAATTGTTTATAATAATTTACAAATTACAATCAATTTTATTGTTAATAAATAAATTAACATTATCACATTTTTTATTTCATATTTTTTTAAATTATAAATTCCTATTAATTTTAATGAAAATATTTAATAAAAATCTGTTAGAACACAAATTTTTAGCAAGATTAATACTTTTGAGTCTTCTGGTTGGTTGACGAATTTTCAATACATTCGCTCTCAGTTCTGTAGAAGAAAAATAACACAAAATAGAAATTACACTCATCAAAGAAAACAAAAATAAAAAATCTACTAGCTAACTCAATCTATAACGTAGAATGGCAGATATGAACGTAATTTGCAAAATGTATACATAGTTTAGTCGTTTGATGGACGAAATAATGAAATCTATCAAAATGTGTCAAATTTTTTGTAATTTTCAATGGATTCAGACTCGTTTCTGAAGAAAACAAAAATGGATATTTTTAATTAAATCTATATAATACAACTAAAAACTTTTTAAATGCACTAAATAAATTATGTGCAACTTTCTGCCGAAATGCAACTGCAACGAATGTCTAAATAGGTGAAAATATAAATTTTTTTGTGATATTCTTTAAATAAATAAAATAATGTACGTGCTTGTGCTTCCAGCGATTTGATACGTCCTTGTATTATTCATATTACCCTTGGCATCCCTTATGCCCTTAACACATACACTCTTTGCTTCGCTCAAGTGTGTGCCCTTAATAAACGAAAGTCTCGAATCTATTAATTAAGATTTTTTCTTCACACATTTTTTTTTTTGCAAACTCTCCAAATGCGGAACTCGTTAACTAATTGCCACGTGGCAAGCTTTTTACCGCACCGTTCGTCCCATCGCGTATGTTTCGCAATTACGTTTACAAGAATTAAAGGAAAACGTGTGCGTACGTGCAATGACGCAAATTGCATTAATCCAACCTAATAAATTCTCCTCCCTCACAAATGAATTACACTCACATGTTTATTCGTTTATTAATACCTATTTGTTTACCTTCATTAAATCGAACGTGTACTTTTAAATAACGGAAATGTCATGTTATGCCAGACGAATGATGAAACTCTTTTCTTGCTTATCGATTCGTGCAGCAGCTAAAAATATCCAAAAATCGAACGTAAACTAATGTCTGTCTTATACAGAAACTCATCGACTTGATTACCTCTCCGATGCATACGCAAGTGCTGCGCTCGTCCTCGACAAACTTTATTACCTTCCACACGTAAAACCGATACAAAATAGATATTTCTACAAGAAAGACGCACATAATTCGATAAAATTCAATCTACATCTGCAATTATTGCACCGATGGAAATTACGGTTTCTGTGTTCGAAGCATCCCTTAGGAATTGCCCGGAATTGTCTTTATTTACATAACAAATTACTCATTTGCCTTGATTTTATGTGAATGAATGAAAGCGCACCCGAATTTCATATAAACTAGGGTTGCCATGCTAATTTTGTATGCATCGGGAATTTCCCGGGTATGTTAACTTTTTAATACGTCCAGGGACGTCAAGAAGGGATTTTAATGAGAGTACAGGATTTTTTTAAATTCATGTTTCTTTATATTTAGTCAAATATTATAAAAAAAATATGTTTTTTCTTTGAACTATCATTACCTTAGATTGTCCATTATTTGAAACATGATTGTCCTATTTAACCGTTTTCAGACATGGCAACTTTAGTATAAACCAATGTCATGTTCTGACGTAATGTTTATTAATCGCTGTTTTCCTTTTTCTTTTGGACGCCCATCCGATTCGTTGTTATTTCTCATTCATACATCAAAGATCGATCTACGCCACCAAGACGCATAATTTCTAAATAAATTTTCATTAAATAAAGAACAGCAAATTGCGCACATCACTCATCCGTCGCAAACAATTTCCTGCCAATATTTCTCCAACAATTGACACTCCGTATAATCAAAATATACTTACAAAACTCTTCTTTTTACCCAAAATAAAGAATGTTTATATTCATTACTTTTACATTTATTTATATTCAATCATGTGTAATTATTATCTTTATTTCTTTATTTTTATGTAATTTTAAGTAAATTGTAAACTAACTGATACGAACCAGAAGAGCTGAGATTAGAACCAAGCAAAATTTTTAAATAAATTATTGTTTTTTTTCAGTGTCATAAATGGAAACTTTAATTTCAATTATCCTACTTTAAAATATGTTAAAAGTTCTTTGCAATTGTAGCTTTTTAACCCCAGAGTTGGTTTATACTTTGACTAGTAATGATTTGATTGAAGTACCTTGTATCCAATTATTGGGTGAAAATGCTGCAACAAATCTTTTTGATCTAAGTATATCTGCGTTTCTAAAAAAATCGCGTTTCAATTTAAAATTAAAATTTTAATCAATTACAATTCCATACAAAGGGAAATCGATGATAGCCGTTAAATATTCTTTGAAGGATAAAATGGTATTCCTTGCCTTTGGGAAACCTTGAAGTAAGAAAAATATAACTGCCGAATATGATAGTAAAAAAAAAGGTCAAGAAGATAATAAAACAGATACGTGCGCTTACAAAATTTCAAATGATCGTAAAATTGCGCCGCAAATGGATTTGAAATCAACAATTACACAATATGGAGATTCATCTCTGTGATCTATGGTTGAATTTCTATTAAGCCGGTTGCGGAAAATGGATATAGAATATCCTAAGTTGTTCGAATTACTTAGTTATATTCGTTGATTACACTCGATCCAGTTCGCTGGGGTGTTTCAAAAGTGGCGCGTGGGGGCGTCGCGACGGCGACGCAAGCGTCTCGCCTACCCTATCGATCCGATTCAGCCGGCCGGCGAACGAAATCCAAGTCCTACGACCACCGCGAAGATGTCAATTTGTTGTCAAATGTGTCAACCATCGAAGACGGTCAAAGAAAATGTCGGTTAATAAAGTACACGACCAATGGGTGAGTTAACAATCATACTAATATCATAATCAACCCAAAAATACGTAGAAAAAGCACGCCGGTAATATGAAACTCCTGCATGAACCTCCCATATTGCTACCTCCTACCTTTCCATTAAAATTAAACATTGCACAAAAGAAACAATGATATCAAAAGTATTGAAATAAAATATCATCAATCTCATCATCATTATCACAAATTCTATTTCAAATAATGATGAAAACTTTGTGTTATAATAACATAATCAATTGTGTCATATTTATGTCCTTTCTATATCCTTTATCTGTAATTAGTACAATTATTAATTATTACTTTACTCAAATTGCATATATTGTATAGTTTGCATTAGTTTTTTTTTGTTATTTAATTCATTGAATTATAAAATAATTAGTATATGTAATAAACGTTTTTATATTATTAAAGTGCAATCAAGTACAGGTGTGGTTAATAATGTATATTGATCTAATTATTTAGAGGCATAATGCAATTGAATGTGTGGAGAGTGTCGCTTTGAAAGTTATCAAATTTGCTGTGTGAAAATGGAATGCAATACTCGATGATGTGAATATATCACCATGACCTTTAAGCATTGGCATTTCCAAAATGATAATGTATTAACGCCATTCCATCTAGTTATTGCTGGCATTTCCTTCATTAATGTCATGTCTACAGAACAGCACAATACATATATGTGCATCCTCTTTTTTTTAATAAAACAGGTGTCAGATTAATGTTCAAATTTGTTTATAATTCATACATGTATTAATAAAAAACATGATTAATCGTTGTAGTCAATTGCGCATATTATACAGTTAATAATTAACTAAAAATAGATGGTATTATCAATGAATCGTTATCGTTGTTGCAGAAGGCAGCACCGGTTGCAATATACTGCTGCATTTCATGACAGAAAATGCCGAACATATCGCCGTTAGTTAGTTTCCCGAAGGTGATTGAGTAGAAAGTAGAAGACGCAATTTGAATTGGATGTTGGTCATTGATGAGCAACAGCAATGGGCAGCACGTCCTCAAAATTCAAGAAGTATCTCCAGCATGGTGATGAGTTTGCTGCTATGCAGATATACCAGAACTCCCCGGAGCTCAGGAAGAACCTGGATCCGAATCTGAGCTACGGGGACAACCACAACCATAATACTGCTCTTCATTACGCTGCCAAGCATGGTGAGTAGTTTCGTAATGTATGAATTGTTGATTGTAAATGTAGAATTATTTCGTAGGGATGAAGCATCTACTGCGGACGTTTCTTAACGACCTGGGTGGAAATCCCAACAAGAGGAATGGTTTCAACGAAACGGTACTGCATTGCGCCAGCCAGTTGAACCAGACGAAGAGCTTTAGTGCTCAGGAAAGGAGGGCGGCCTGCGTTCAATTGCTTCTGCACTGGAAAGGGGCGCCTTTAAGTACTGGCGGCAGAGAGAAGGTTGATCTGGAAGCACAGGATAAAGTAAGCAAAACATCTAATGCATGTTTACTATATTTGTTAAGTTTCTGTCTCCCGCAGGAAGGTAATACTCCTCTGCACAGCGCTGCCAATGATGGTTTAAAACGATGCGTGGAATTACTCCTCTCCCACGGAGCGCCGCTCTTTGTGGAGAATAAAGACAGGCAAACGCCTTGCGATTTAGCCATGAAGGGATCATTTCACGACATTGCTAGGCTTCTCGAGAGCCGAATGGTTTTCGTAAGTGCTTGATCTCTACTCCTACACTCTCGCAACAAAAAAAATAATTATTTACAGGCAGATAACAGCGATACTTTGAACGAAGACGAGATTATAGCCGAACAGGAGGTTTACAGTGGTCTTAGAAGCCAAGATTTGCAGGAAGCTAAAGATCAACTGCTCGTGGACACTTCAGACATGCTTAAAATTCCTTTATTCACTGCCGAAGCTTTATTGAGAAATCATGGCAAGTATGACGCTTTGAATACATAAACATATTTTCTAACAACAAACATAATCATCAACAGAATGGTCGCGAGAGCTTTTGTTAGAGAAATGGATGAAAGACCCCATCGATTGTTGTCAATCCGCCGGAGTTAAGCCGCCGTCCTCCGTGCTCAACCAAACATCTTTTGATTCCACCGTATCGACTGATTCAGCTAAAGACTCTCAACCGGAAATAATCGTATACATGAATATTCAACTGTCGGCTTTAAAAAAAAAATGTAATACTTGCTAAATTTTCAGTGTGAGATCTGCTGCTCAAACATGCCGAAGAATGAAAACTGTTTGCAGATGTCTTGCAAACACTCGTTCTGCAAATGCTGTTGGGAAATCTATCTGACAACGAAAATTCAAGAAGGAGATGCCCATCACATCCTCTGTCCAGCGTATCAGTGCCACATCCTAGTACCAGTAGATCTGATAGAGAAATTAGTGCAACCGGATATTGCCAAAAGATATATACAATTTGACATCAAAGTATGTGCAAATTAATTTAGATGCAAATACAATTAAGTGGTACATATTTTTCAGGCATTCGTGGAAAGCAACAAATGCATCAAATGGTGCCCAATTGCGGGGTGCGGGCGTGCTGTCCGATTCCCAGAGGCTGAACATCCTGATAATAAAAATAAATCCGTACCTGTAACATCGCATGCAGTGGACTGCGGAAACGCACATTTCTTCTGTTGGGAGTGTTTAGGTACTAAATATCCATACGATAAATCTGTTACTAGTTAATCATTATCGTTACTATTTAGGTGAAGCTCATGCCCCCTGCGGTTGCAACCAGTGGCAGGAATGGCAGATGAAGATTGCAGAGGTCAAACCAGAAGAACTTCAAGCCTCGTGCAGCGGAACGGAAGAAGCCGCAAACTTCTTATGGCTCGTGACAAATGCTAAGCCGTGTCCCAACTGCAGCAGTCCAATACAAAAAAACGAAGGATGCAATCACATGAAATGCTCCAAAGTAATAAGTCGATTAAACACACTTACACTGTGATTTACAATTGATTTACAATATTTCAGTGCAAATATGATTTCTGCTGGGTTTGTCAGGAATCTTGGAAGCAGCACAGCTCGGCCACCGGAGGATACTTTCGTTGCAACCGTTTCGAAGCAGTGCACAAAGCCGATGAGAAACAAGGCGTTCTGATTACAGAAGCAGTCGATAGGAACAATCAGATGCAGGAGATGTCGAGGTTTTTACACTTTTATATGCGTTTTAGAAATCACGAGAACAGCCAGAAGCTCGAAGAGCCGTTGCTTATAGGTGTTCGAAAGAAAATGGAAGTGCTCGCCAAAAGCTTAGGTTTAAAAGAAACTGAAGGTATTTCAATCTTGGATGCTGTAAATGGATCTTAATTAAGCTATTTTAGCTTTGGGAGCGAAAGGTACCATATTCATAGAGGAAGGTGTGCGAGAATTGCTGAAAGCACGGAGAGTTTTATGCGGTTCTTATGTTTACGGTTATTACCTGGAAGATGATGGTTACAACAAAACTATTTTCGAATTTATGCAGGTACACATTTATACTTTTGAGACGAACATTATATAAAATTATTTTGTAATTAATAGAATGAGCTGGAGGAAGTAACTGAGAAGTTGAGCGAGATGATCGATAGGCCTTACTTAAAAACTCCTAAAACTGTGATCATCCAAACGACAATGCTGACTCGACGTAAACGACACGAGTTTATTAGGGCTGTCGCTCAAGGGCTAATACCACCGGAAACTCCTCCGGCGCAGAGGAAAGCCAAAAAGCGTAGATACTTAGATGTAAATCATAGTTTAGTTAATGGTATATGGAGAATAATTCAGATTGTTGCAGATTGATATTTCGCATACAAACGCTTGGCTTCGTGATTGCCAATGGCCTGAGTACGATTCGGATGCGGAGGAGTGCGATATAGGATATTCAGATTCTCTTGATGCTATGAAAAGCAAAGATCACGAGTGCAGCTTAAAATGCACTAGACATAGCTGCGGAAGTGAGTTAATTTTAAATGTGTAGATATCTTTTAAATTTGTTAATTTTAGACACTGATTACAATATGGAGCTGGTGATTGCCTTGGAAATGTCGAGGTTACAAATGATCGAGGATAGGATGAAGCAGGCTCAAGCTGAAACGGAATCCAGCAAAAATAATAACGTGAAAAGCGACGTGGTCGACGACCAATTGAAGTTAGCCATACAGTTAAGTCTGCAGGAGTCCGCTGCAAGGTTCGGAAAGAAGTTGAATGCGGACGACGTGGAAACAACGTATCAAAAAACCAACGCCGATTTAACGGTGGACTATTTTCTGAAGTCTTTGGCGAACCATAAAATCGATTTAAAGAATCTGGAGGTCGGTAGGATAGGCGGCGATGGATGGAATAAGCGCGATAAGGAATTTCTGTTCAAGCCATGCAACGATAACGAGGACGGTAGATTTAGGATTTCGGATATACACGATAAAGGATTTGGATTCGGTTTTATGGATTCCGATGAGGACAATGATGTACGCTTAAAGAGATCGCATTCGACGGGTGATCTGTGCGTACGTAAGTCGGGAAGAACTAGGATCGGGATGCAAAGGGATGAGCCCAGATATCACCTGGATTCGGATCACAGCAGCCAGCATGATGATAAACCAGAAGATGTTGCTAGAAAGATACTCGCGCTACCATCCACCTCCGTCCGAACGAAGCAACTCCTTTTGCTTCATCATACTTATCCGGAGGAGGATTATTACCAAGGTCAGAGTTCAATTGAAGATACAACGACGTCAGACTCGATAAACGTAGATATGGAGGTGTGCAATATTTTAGAGTCCGTTGATGAGAAGACATCTTTCAGCGAGGAAGATTGCAAGCTATACGTAAACTTAACTAATCATGCGAAAATTAAAGAGGTACATAAGACTGAAGACATATCACAGCCCGAAGAGAATAATCAAACTCCATTAGCCTCGCTTAAAGCAAAACTGTGTTCCGCTCATTTACCGAAGAACAAATATTTGACGCGCATTGCTGTAACCAAGAGCATCGGATTGATCTCCGATCAGAACAAGCTGCAGCCGCCTCCGCAAGAGATCATCCGCAGGAACTCGGATCACGCTGTCAAATCTCCGAAGCAAGATACTCTTGTCGTGGAGCATAAAGAGCAATCTAAATCCACAGGATTTCTCATACAACCCGTGCAGAAAAGCACAAACCTTAGAATCAAAATCAACCCGGAATGTCCAAAGATCAATCACCTGGAGACGGACAGTTCCAATGAATACGAATCGGAAACGGGAATACCGAAATCGCCAACCCTCTACATCTCAGGCGTCTCAATATCACGAACCCCCGAACCGAAATCCCCGGGTATAAGTATTATAAACGGGAGGCAGTCTAGATCGTCCAGTCTTAGCGTTCACATGCCCCTATCCACTTGCTCGTTGAATATCTCAACGTCTAGCCTAAACAATAATCTCTCGTCTGAACCATTCACACCCTCTCTTATACGATCCACGACTCCGTCGATCTCAAACAGCCCCAACAGGTCATCGAACAAAGAAAACACAAAATCCAAGAGCGCCAACGAACCCGAACGTGAGCGAGAAATGTTCTGCTTTCCCAAATCATCGACGGACGGCGCACTCAGCTCGGTCCTCCACGTTCAGGAGTCCAACTTAAGCTCGGACGACTTCCACGAGGCTCTCTTCCTTCTGGAACGATCACCCAAGACACGAGACTCGAAACGCAGAAAGAAAATCAAAAAGAAGGATAAACTGGATGAGAGAAAAGAGGAGATTAGTTCAGCGCTGTGAAAAAACATTTTGGGACACAAAATTGTATTTTATTTACCATTCATTATATATATATAAAAAAAAAACATATATATAAATTACAAAATTAAACAACAACAAAAAAAAGATAAAAAGAAATGGGAGAAAACAAAAAACAAAACGAGAATAATAATAATATTATTGATGAAGATGACGTTCAATTCTTTCGAAAAGACTGCTATTTTATACTGATGAGAAGAAGAACCCCTTTTTAATCGAGACGATTGGTTTGAATGTAAGCATAACAAATGTAATAATAATAATATTAGTATAAATAATAATAATGAATGTGTATTACTGTTAATCGTGTATTTGTAATCAAAAGGATGTTAAACGAGGATAAGTTATGTTTCGTTTCATTGATTTCTCATCATCAATCTATCGCATCTTCTTCATTCAGTTATATTCGATAATAACAACAACTTTCGTTCTCATTTAACCAACGGGATATATTTTTTACAGGTTCTTTACGCCACCATGACATGTCATATAGTTTTTTGCTATTAATACATTTACAATTATAATATATACATATATACTACTCATATATTACTTTCGATGAACTTATAGGAAATATTATAAAAATATTTTGTTTCTTTTTTACAAATAAATATATCGTTTCGACAAGTTCAAGAATAATCATTCCTTACATTTTCATATCAAATCTCTTTTGATAAATACACATTCAATACAAATTTGTGAAAAAAAAAACGATTAATCGAATATCTTTACTCACTATTCTTCTCCTTTCAGCGGTCGATACATTTTATCTATACACAACTATTCAAAACAAGGACAATCTCGGCATTGATAAAAGTAAAGTTTTATTAAAAGCCATACCATTTCTTTGCATGTGATAAATAGAAAAATATTCATTTTTTTTGTCCTTTACCTATCTTTATATATTTTTTCATAATATTAAACATATTCGTTAATTTAAATTAAACATAGTTCATTATATAGATCTTTGATTACCATTAATACTAATTTTGAATATTGTAGTTAAGTGTGTTGCATACACTGTTTGATTTAATTTGAAAATTTCCGTTGCAATATGTATTTTAAATTTCAAATCATCTGCTTTCAAATTATTCTGTTATAAATCTTCTCGAGGTAGAACAAAACATTTCTGAAGAAGCGGTATGTACTAAAATTGAAACAACTATGAGTAATAATATTCGATTTATCTAGTACTCTCATATGATTTATCTTAGAAAGAACTTGTATTTTGATGCGTCTGTTACATTATGAAATTTCCAAATTTCTTATTTTTTAGAATGATAACATCTGTATTCTTTATAAACAAATAATGCATTTAACAAGTACTTAAGTATTTACATTTGAACGAATGTCGTCGAACGTAGGTAGGCAACCCGATTTCTGTTTGTATTGAAATTCTTGTCAGTGAAAAAAAAAATCGATACTTCATGTTGACGTTGAAGTTTTAAAATAAAGTAGTTAGAAGAAACATGGAAATTGATACAGTCTGTTGCTTGAAAGAGGAACTTTTGAAGCACGCAATCGAGCCAAAGGCTACTAAGAAAGATGGGCAAGTATTTTTGTTTTTCGTATTTTGTAATAATGTTTAATAATTTAAGCAATTTTTAATAATTATTATATTTAAATTATATTATATACATAAACTAATATTTATATTAATTTGCTTGCAACCATTTCGCTAACGCAAAAAAAT